AATATAAAAGTTAGTGTAAGTATCGTTTGGGGAAAATCACCAATCGATGCTTTTAAGTGCCAGTTAGTGTAAGTTTCGTGTACAATACTTTTATTATATTTGTATATGTAGTTAATTTTGTGTTTAATAGATCAATTTTGTTCATTTGTAAATTATAGTTGCAAACTCTTTAGAGATTCTGCAACATCAGAAGCAATATATCAAACCATGGACACAAATCGATTAATGTTTCGTCCATTTAGTGTTGATATGGATGAAGTCATCCGCAGATGCAGAAAGTTGAACAACCCACACATACTCTTCAATGATGGAATGGTACTCTTTTTTTATGCATTCTAATAATTACACATGCAATTTGTTTTCTATATTTGTATTTGTTTATATTAAAAATGTATGATTACTTAAAGTAATTCTAGCGAAGTATTTTTTGTTAGGAGAAGATGAAGCAGGGAAACAGTTGCTTCCAGTTGTAGCCGATAAGGGACAGTTGGATGCGATATTTGTTCTGGGAATGCTGTTGATGGCCGAAGGCAGTGAAAGGAACCTAAAAGCTCTGATCATGTTGAATAATGCTTACATTAATACAAGAAGAAGTTGGAATATGAGACAAACCTGTTACAAGGTTCGAAGCCACTTGGTTAGGGGAAGGAGATCAAAGTAGATACAATTCCATGGCTTGCATAAAAGTTGTGCAAAGCATCCTTCTGTGAGCATATATGGAAAAGCTTTTATGCATGAATACAGTTGGTTGTTTAATTGTGATATTTGTTTGTGGGATGCATGTTTGGTTGAGTTTGCTAAGATGTTTGACATTAGTTTAGAGTATTTATATGATGGTTGTTTGATTCACACAATTAGTGATGCATATTATATATGTATTTTGGTGTAATGTGAATATATACTTGTAAATCACCCATATAGAAAGGATAAAAATAAGTTCAAGAGGAATCGTGAAGTGACAGAAGGTCCTCCTCCAAGTAATAATGGTGAACAAACTTTAGGGGGAATTGAACAATTAGGTTTGGTAAAAGTGACTGAACTAAATGCTGATAATGTATACAAAGCATGTGGCGATCATGGTTGGAAAAACAAAAGCATATTTTGGGATTTACCATATTGGAAAACAAACTTCATTAGACATAATTTTGATGTTATGGATATTGTGAAAAATGTATTTGAGAACTTTTTTTACACTGTAATGGATGTCAAAGCGAAGACAAAGGACAATATAGCAGCGAGAAGAGATCTGAAACTCTATTGTAGGAAGAGAAGAGGAGTCGAGGATGATCAAAGAGCGTACTATGCTCTAGACAAGAAGCAAAAGAAAGCCATTTGTGAATGGGTAGAGAAATAGCATTTCCCCAATGGTTATGTTTCTAATTTGGGGAGGTGTGTTGATTTAACCGAGTGTAGACTGTTCGGAATGAAAAGCCACGATTGTCATGTTTTTATGCAAAGATTGATGCTAATTGCATTTCGTGAAATGTTGCCAAAACATGTGTGGGAAGCATTAACAGAGTTGAGTCTTTTCTTCAAAACATTAACAACAACATCAATCACAACAAAAGACATGGAAAGGATTGAAATGGAGATCCCAATAATTCTATGTAAATTAGAGACCATATTTGTCCCTAGTATTTTTAACTCCATGGAACATTTACGAGTACATTTGCCATACGAAGCGAAGATATCCGGTCCCGTCCAATATCGGTAGATGTATCCATTTGAAAGGTTTGTATGTTACATCAAAATGTATGTTGCTATTTTTTTAAGATAAGTTAAATCTTCTTTACTATAGATATCTAAATCAGTTGAAAAAAAATGTGAAAAATAAAGCTAGAGTGGAAGGCTCTGTTCTTAATGCATGCTTACTTGCTTCGTGAAACATCAATATTTTGCGGTCATTATTTCGAGACTGGTGTCCCCACACGTAACAGAAAGTTGCCTGGAAATGATGATGGAGGTGGAGATGAGCAACCTGATGACAAAAACGAAATTTTAGATATATTTTCATATCCTGGTCGTCATTATGGAAGATTCAGGAATAGAATGTTGTCTGATGAGAAACTGCATGCTGCCCAAACTTACATACTCCTTAACAAAGATAAGATCAAACATTACATCAGGTAAGTAACATATACTTCACATTTAATTATAATTAATAATAATTTGTAATTGATCTGAATAACATTTACATGCATGATTTTGTTTATTAAATGATAGTAACTTTAAAAATGTTATGTAAATGGTAATACAAAATATTTGAAGAAGATTTGAATGAACTTATTGGGGATATGGATGAACAAGAGCTTGCAGCTGAAGTTGAGAAGAACTTTGCAGTATGGTTTCAAAACTATGTGGGTGTTAATTTTAAATATTTTAATTTTATTATTTTTTGTTATGGTTATAATTAACTCTAATTCAGTGCTTTACCATTTGTCATATAGGCACGTAAGATCCAGATAAACAACAAGTATAAATATGACCTTTCCAAAATGGCATTCAAAAGAGTGAAATTATATAGTGTATACTTTGTCAATGGTTACAAGTTTCATACAGAAGCTCATGGCCTGAACAAATCAACAATCAATAGTGGATTGTGTGTTAGTAGCCAAGGAGGTGATTATTACGGTAAGGTAGAGGAAATTTTAGAAGTCGAGTACTCTGGTTTCCCAATTAAAACCACAGTTTTGTTTAAATTTCATTGGTACGATCCAACACCGAACATAGGAGTTAGGGTTCACAAACAATATAACTTGGTCAAGATAAACGTCAAAAAAATACAACAAGTTCGAGCCATTTGTTTTAGTCATGCAAGCTACTCATGTGTGTTACATTCCTTACCCAAGTTTGAAAACAAACAACTTGGACTGGTGGGTTGTATTTAAAGTTAAACCACATGGTTGGACTGATGTACGTGAAAATCATCCTCAGAAAGACGCGACTTTCCAAGAAGATGAAGTTGAAACAATTGAAATCATTATACCAACTACGGCCGATACAGACAATTATGATGATCACGACATGTCAAGCAGTGGTTCAGATAATGAAAATAACATTGATGAAGAAGGTGAAATTCATGAGGACGACAATGATGGTATTCCTGACAGCGAGGGTAGTTATGAGTATAGTACATCGAGCAATGAAGAAAAAGGGGAGGAAGAAGAAGAGGAGGAAGAAGATATTGACTAGATGTTTCATTAAATATCCAATTAAGTAATCGTTTATGTTATAATCCAGTTTTTTACATTGAAATGGTAAAAAATTATTCAATATAACATAAACATAATTACTTTACAAAAAATTAATTCCTAGTAGAATTGGTAACAAAATTTTCAACATATAATTGCTCAATACTAAAAATTCCATGAGTTTTATTGCCGTTGCAAAATTTCCATAGCTAAATATCTATGAGTTTGAACTATTCCTTATCAATGTTGCTATGGAATATAATTTCGTAACAAATGTCATCACAAATTAGCTAGGCGTTTTGTTCCATAGCAAAACAAGCAAAGGAAATCAAATTCCATAGCAGAATTCCCTAGCAAATACCTACGAATGGTACTTCCATAGCAAAACAACTATGGAATTGGTTTGCGTTGAAAAAGTCTGTTGCGTAGTAACTACGATAATTAATTTCATAGCAGCAGTACAACGGAAAGTGATTTTGTAAAAAATTTTGTTTCAAAATTGCTAATGTTCTTTCGATAAAAATATCGGTAGCATAATACTAACGAATATGGAGTCGGTAGCATTTTCCCTAGCAAGTCACATGCTCGCAACCAGAAATAAATTTCGTAGACAATGTGGTAGCAACCTTGCTATGGAACTACATTACATAGCACAATCCCTTGTAGATTAACAACGAAAATACGTTCCATAGCGCCATTCCCTAGCAAAATCGTGTTTTTCTTGTAGTGATCTAACTCCTCGATTACATAACCCTTATATGGATGAAATTTTGCATAGTGACAGCCATGAAAATTTTTACCACACCCTAGCATCTTAGCCTTGTCAACCAATGACCTCAAGACTATTGGATTAAGGTGTCTAAGCCAATAACTAAATTGGTATATTCTTGATTTAAAAGCAAAGTTCTTTTTGGGTTGCCCTCAGAACTAGCAACTAAGAAGAATTATATTTGGAGAGAGAGGATAATTTATTAATATATTATATTATTAATATATTAATTAGAAATAGTTATAATTAATTTAGAATTAATCAAAAATTAATTGGAATTAACTTCAAGCTAATTAGAACTAATTGGATGTACAAGGACTAAGTTGTAATTGTTCAACATTTGAACAAGAGAGGGATTCTAGAATCCTCCTTGGATGTATGGTTTTGGATTGTGTATTAAGGATTCTAGAATGCTCGTTATTGATAATTAAGTAGTTGGATAATTTTCATATTTGAGATATTATTATTATATTCAAATAATGGTTATCCAAGGCTTCCTTATCCAATATAAATAAGACCCTAGGGTCTCATTTTTTTCGTCCTTGCTACTTAGCTTCCTATAGCTGAATTTCTACTCCTCTCTCCTCTCTCCTCTTTATTCTTGTTGCTAGGGTTTTGGGTACAAACCATTAGAGGCATCATCTCTTTAGTGTTAGTCTTTCCAAGCTTCACAACTACAAGGATTGGTGTGATTTGTTTGCAGTAACAAATCAAAAGGTAAGTAACCTTAAACCTGCTAATTTTCGAATTACACTAGGGTTATGCTAGTTTAGTTGTTCATTTTATGTTTTTATCATGGTGTATGATATAGATCTTTCATAGGATGCATGCACCCTATTAATTGATAATTGTTTTCCTCATTATACAAACTTGTATTCTATAAAACCCAATAGAGACTTGGTTCTTACCCAGGGAGCTAAACTTAGAGGATACTAGAGATGATGCAAATTATGATGATCATGGTGATGATGATGACATTCAGATGGAGGATGTTACTGATGATAACCCCTTCGATGTCAAGGACCATTATGAACAACCTATCAAACAAGTGCCACAATACATTTACATTCAGTCCTCCAGAGCATAGTTCCAGCCACCACCTCAGTACCAACAGTTTCCACAATAGCACGAACTGAGACCCGATCTTCCTCTTGATATCTACAGTTAGCTTGCCTCCTTGCGCTTGCAGGAGAACTAGAATAAAGTAGACATTCAGCACATTCAGGAGCAGCAGACCCGCTGAAACACGTACATGGAGGATGTATGGCCCCGTTTCCAGCCGGAGGACACTTACCGTCCTCGTGGACCTCCACCACCTTGATCTCGGTATGATACTTCCTTACTATCATCCTAATCATTGAGGACAATGCTTAATTTTAATCTTGGGTTAAGGTGTTCTTATATGTTTTATTTTGTTTGTATTTAGTTTGTATATAGTTGCATTTTGAGTAATTCATTTCGGTCATTTGAAAATTGCATAAAAATTTCAAAAATATTGCATATTTTTTTTCTTCTTTTTAATATTTCATACTTTTTAGTTTCATCTTAGTTTAGGATTTCATGCATTTAGTTTTTATATAGGATTTCATGCATTTTTTTTCTCTCTTTTTAGTTTAGTCATAAGTATTGAAACAAAGATTGGTATCGCGTCTTGATATGGAATTCCTTGTATTGGAAAAAATGGGACAAACTTTGTGCCTCATTGACCACTTTGAGACTACTTGTGTGGGGGTCATATGCATAGTTCTAATTGGTTCTAGATGTAGAAGAAAGTGGTTAGTCAGGACGATGTGTGCAAGAAAAGATTAGCCCAATATGGTATTTGAAGACATGGATGAATCGCATCTCGGTCAGGAGGAATACCCCTTTGTACTTCCTAGTCTTGCATAGTTAGATTCTCATCACCTTTTTGAGATAAGTCATAATTTTTCCAGGGGTCCAGAGTTGATAGTTAGATAGGTTATTGATGTGCCCTCAGGTCCATCTTCCACTGACTATATGAACGATCGAGTTCTTCGTGGTCAGTTAACTAGGAGATAAAAACAACTCGTAAGCCGAAGACCGGGAGAGAGTCGAAGGCCAATGTTCTAATGATAATGTTAGTATTGACCCTAAGAAAATGTATCTTGAATTCGTATTTCATACTTTGAAATGTGTATGAGACAACGTACTTTGTAATGTGGTTTTGATCATTTATTTATAGTCGATGTTCGGAGGTGGTGACCTTTTCCTTGGTCGAGCAGGTCCAAGGTCTTCTTGCATTAATGTTTGTATAGCCTAAGGTACATATTGGTGTAGTTTATAGTCGTTTAATAGTTGTCGGTCATTAGTAAAAGGATCCACCAGTCATTAATCGTAATACATGTTGTATTACTTTGAGGTCCAATTTCCTTTGATATTGTTATTATGACACTTTGTACTTTAGTCGTTATCTCTTATATATCAGTATACATAGATCTATACATGTACTTGTCTTGATATATATATATACATGGTTCGGTATATATGCCTAGCTTAGTATATATGCGTGGCTGCATATATGGTTCAGTTTAGTATGGGTATATGTACGGCTTCGGGCCTTATATCATATTAAGTACCACCCCCCTCATTTTGGGTTATGACTCTCTTTAAAAGTAATAATTCAATCTTAAATGTTTTAGCAATGTAACCGTTTTGATCGGATAACCGTCTATTCAGTTATTTTGCATTTAAAGATGCTACAGTGCATAAATGCCATTTTGTCTTTTTTACAAGTCTGCCCTCTCTTGATTTTTAATAAGTATCACCTCTCTTGTGGCTATTATCCTACACTGCTTATTTCATCTTTCAAATTACCCTCCATTCTCAATTTCTCCACCTTATTCCTTCGTGGCTAACAACGAGATTTTAAACATTCACATCGTGATGTCCAAGCTTACCCCCAAAAACTTGGAGGATGTCATTAAGAAGTATGAGATTGATCTTAAATTTCATCCTTGTTTCCAGAACCTGGGAATGCCATCATCGATGCTCTAGAGGAATTTGTTGGTGTTTACCGGTGTTTTTCAAATCTGGTATGTGGTTGTCGGAGTTCGATTTCTTGAAGACGATCTAGACTATTACATTATTCATATTTATGAAATTACTCCAAATAGGTTTTAGAAGATTATTTTTCTTCGTGTTTCGATGCTCTGCCTTAAGCATTGTGCCTTCTATTACATTATTTTTCCACTTTTATGTTACCATGTCTAGCGATGATTGTGTATATTTCTCTCTCTCGCCATGGGTTGGTGGAGATTTGTGACGGACTTCGAACTTCTATAAAGTATTGGAAGGAAGATATCTTCTTCGTTCATGCCTCCACTTTTCCTGGACCTATGGTGTATGGTGCTTCTACTAATAGGGTTGTCGGTCCCTCGCCTGAATTGACCCTCGAAGAGCAAAGTGTCGTAGATCGTCTGTCAGAGAACTTTGTTAAGTGCACGGATACTAAGGAAATAATGTTGGGCATGGCAGAGATAAGTCCTCATTGGAATAAATGAGGGAAAAAGCCGTTGGAAACCCTAGCGGGGAGGAAGATTACTTTATTGGAGTGATTCCCTAGAAAACGCTTGGCAAGTTCTACCATAGTTATGGAGAAACAATCGTACCTAATTCTCCTTTCCAGTCAGAATCTAGTATGGATTTTGTTGCGGATCCTCCTGGTCTGGAATCCAATATGCCTGTGATCCCTTCCCCTACCAAGAAGAATGTAAAGGTGGAGCATGACAGCAGGAAACCTCCGTTTTCATTGAAAAGGAGAATGGGGGTAGGGTAGCGAAAACCCTTTCTCTGGAAAGTACAACAACTCGATCCAACAATGCGATTGACCTCTCTCCTCCCGAACAAAAGTGGAAAGTTCATGGTGGTGAAACGAAGAATCGTGGTACGACGAGTTTAGGTGTCGAGTCTTCGACTGAGCTTATAAACCCTGCTTCTTCTTTGGGGACACCCTTACAATTGATCTTCATGACTGTCTGATAACTTCTGCCCCTAAACTGAAACATGCCGATGAAAATCTCTCTTTGTCAGACGTTGAAATGCTCGATCCTAAGGAAAGCCTCGATTTTGAATTTGAGAACCAAATCCTGCTACCTCTTCCAAGCCAATATCGAAAGTTCGGTCTTCCCTAATTCTTTCTGTTGCAGCTATTTTTTAGAAAAACTCTTTGGCTCTGGAATCGGGCATTTTGAAGCACCGAACACTGAATCCACAGTTGTAATAGGGGTCCCTCTTCCTACTGGTTTGGGCATTCATGGTAGTTCGATCCTTACTCCCTTGGAAATTCTTGACACTGCTACCCTGCTTGGAGATGACTCTTACATAGATCTACCCGCAAGTGTTCCTCATACTATTTCAGAGTCGATTGATATGTTCCTCTTAATGTGAGTTTCACATATATAATTTTTTGTTGCCGCTTGTTACGATCTGTTTCTATTTTTTAGTTCAGTTTTTCCTTCCTCTGACAAGGAGGCTCTTATGCCCATACTCGTTACATTTGTAACTTTGTTACCCCAATTTCAGCAACCATTTGCTATGAACCCTATTCTAAAGGGCCCTGAACTAGCGGATGCATCCGATGAAGAAAGTCTTGACAACAAACACTTGTGTTTGATAGAGTGGATTCATTTGTTGAACGAAGTTTCTACTCGTACTCGAACTCATGTAAATATTCTTGCTAACTAACATTAGAAAGTTGAAGAAGCCTTCCAAGCTTTGAAGGGTATCTGTAGTAATGACGAGTGTTTAGAGGAAGAAGCAAAGAATCTGCGATAAGAGGTATTAGGTTTGTCTAAGAGGAACATGCATTTTGTGAATGGTCTAAGCGAGAGCTTTCGTTGTCATTTCTTATAAAATTTAAATGATTTAGGACATGCATTTTTGCGTGTCCTATACGTTTCCGTCGTTTTATAAATTTTTCAAGAAACACGCTCCTTTCTTTTTAATACATAAGGGAAAGGAAATCCCCAAAAATTTGAAACCCCACGTCTTCTCCTTCCCTTTGTATCATTCTTTGCCCTAATCTTGCTTCTTGACGCCATCATCTTCTTTCTCCCCACATCAACCGTTTTTTATACTTCCCATTCCCAATGCTTAATACCCTATTTCTATTTAATTGAAAATATATGCCGTTCAGTCTGGACGTCCACTTCTCCTCCTTAGACAACGATTACAACAATGTTGGATGAAGTTGCTCGCCACCTGTACATACCCCTTTGCCGCCACCTCCTCATGTCACCGACTTTCCCTATTGGCTACATGTTTGGTCCAGTTGAATTGAAGGCTAAAGGTCTTATTTATTTATTCATCTCCTGCTTCAAATTAACACTTCATGCTTCGATTCTAATTGACTCTCTGGTTTTAGTATAGCTATCGTCTTTTAAAATTAGGGTTTGTGTTTGAATCATTTCATTGAACGACAGGTGAATCAGACCGTGTTCTCACATTTATTTGACATTGAAGGCTACAACCTAGATGTACTTATTTATTATTGATCTCCTGTTTCAAATTAATGTCTTGTGTTTCAATTCTAATCGACTCTCTTTTTTATGTATTGTTATGGTCTTCTCAAATCAGAGTTTCCTTGAATGAGTTCACAATCAATCTTGACTTTGACTGGCGTTCATCATATTTTACAAGAAGTGGTGATGCTAAACGAGTTAACACATAATGTAAGGTTAGCTTCATCTTCTATCTTGAATTCTTGATAGCCTTGTTCATTGAAGCTGGAGCTTACTTACAAACCTTTATATTTGTCTTTGTGAAGATCGATATAGCTTGAGAGTCATAGGTTTTGGATATTTTTCATTGTTATTTGTGTTCTGACTCTTAAATCAGCGCATGATGGCTGAAACGGTAATTTGTTTTTTACTAGGTGAAACTTTCTCCATTCCATAATCCATATGAGTTGACTTCTTTTTCCTTGTAGTTATCATAGAAGTCAAGATAACCTACATAGCTCCTCTCAAGAAGATTTTCATATAAGAGGCTACACTTCTTTTCCTACGTGACTTGTCCTTCATAGGTAAGCTTCTTATTATGACTAATATAAACACTAATAAGGCACTAGGTTGATAGGAAGGGAGATAGATTAAATTATTTTTGTGAATCGTTAATCCTTATTGGCCATAATCTGGCCATTAGCGTGCTTGATATGAACAAAAAAGTTTTATTTATACTTATGACCTTTTCTTTTTTATTAAACCAATTTAATTATGGTTAATAGTTGGCAAGAATGAGGAGTTGTTACGCCTAGAGGAACATATTAACAATATGGATGAGAACCAATACGCATTATAATATACAACTTAGCCAACGTTTTTAATAATTCTTCTTTATTTACATCTACATTCACGCACACACCATATTGGGTAGCTCACAAATCAAAATCAAAGTGACTGTGATTTGAATATGTTCATAGTTTGGTTTTTATTTTATGGTTTTTGATATGAACTTGTCACAACTAGCATATTGGGCTAGGAAATTCTGTTCAGATGTAATAAATTATTGTTTTATCTTGTAACTCCAAGTTTGATGTTATACATATTCAAAAACAAGTAAGTATTCAAATCAAAACTCACTCGTGAAGCCCTAAACCTAGTTCAATGCACTATGATCACTCAACTTTGGATTGTAACCCTAATTTTTCCCGGTTCAACCTCTTATTGGACCAGGATCCTTTTATAGGGCCCAATGGGCCAATAAACCCACAACTTGATTATTTTGGGTTAAGATACCTCATTTGCGCCCTAATTGGACCCACATTCACTAAGTAATTGATTTTGGGTCACAAAAACTCTTCATGGGCCTTAATGGGTCGTAAACATTATTGTGAACATCATTGGGCTGAGAACCCATTGTGTATACCACTTTTGGGTCAAAAACTTGTGTATGGGCCCAATGGGCCGAAAGCTTTCTTTTTGGGCTAAAAGATCTCGATCTTTATTCAATTCAAGCCCAAACATCTCTCTTCTCTTTTCCCTCCCTCCATTCTCGTTCTTGAAACAAAAAAAAGGGAAAATATAATAAGGATTAGGGGTTGACACCTCATTATTGTATGTTTGGTATCTATGCTAATTACATTACATATATCTAAACTCCTACCCTATAATCCCCCATGTATTAACCACTCCCTTCTCTCTCTCTCTCTCTCTCTCTCTCTCTCTCTCTCTTTCTCTCTCTCTCTCTCTCTCTCTCTCTCTCTCTCTTCATAACTCTCGCCCATAAGAGCTTCCACCACCACCTCCATTTTCACTGTCAAACTCACCAAAAATCCTCTCTCGAACTCCAAGAAAAATCCCATTCTCCCTCTCCAAATTTCGTTTGTGCTTGTCGGTGTGTTCAAGAATACTTCATCATTTTGGTAGGATACTTTCTATTTAAGTGTTGAACATCATCATATGACAAATCCTTCACTCATTAACACTTAAATCGTGATTCATGCTCTTAGAATCTCCTAGAATTCGAAGAATTCATCGAAGAAGTAAGCTAGGTCGAAAAAAAATCATTTCCTCTCATCTCTTCACCAAAATCGATCCATCATCCCAAAGTGAGTTCATACCCCCTATTTTCGGTTTTTATTAGTTTTTGGGGGAGAATACAAGTTGTTTTGTGTAGATCTATGTGTATATGCATGATTTTGTGTGTTTTTCATGATATCAGTGTGATTATGTGTTATAAACTTCAAGAACTAAAAAAATGCTAAAATATGATGATATTTGTGGAACATAACACTTGATACAACTTATTATGCAACGAAAAGGTTTAAAACATTACAAGTTTGTTTAAAACAAAGAAAATCACATAAGAGGGCCAAAAATGACAAAATTATCAAAAAGTGAAGTTATTATACATAACTCACGGTTTTGAAAATATCTATTTGAATAAATATGGATCTTTATGGTATTTATGATTCTAGAAGGGCTAAAGGTGTAAACTTTCACAAATGGGCCTCATATTGGGCTTTCATGGTTTTTGGGCTAAATTTGTAAATTTTTGGAGTTTTGTGGGCTTAAGTGTCATTTCGAACAAAGCTGAGCCAAAAATGTTATTTTTCGATTAAAAGGGCTGAAAATGACAATTTTATCAAATTTGAACCGAAAAGGATAAATTTTATGCCTTTGGGACGAAAATGTAAAAACTTCATACACTTGGGCCGAAAATGATCTTTTGACAAAAGTGGGGTTAAAATTGTTATTTTACTCAAATTAAGCCCTCATATGTAAACTTTTGGTTTTAAAGGACCCAAAGTGTCATTTTTACCTAAAATGTGCCTAGATTGTAATTTTTCGGTTTTAGGGACCAAAAATGTCTTTTTACAAAAAGTGGGTCTTTTATGTTATTTTGGTGAACAATTAAGCTTAACCAATCAACATAACAACAAACAGATTAATTACGTCACTTACACCTTAATTGGGCCCAGAATATATATTACATGTTTAGTGGGCCTTAATGGTCCATTTACATGCATGTTGGGCCTGGAATGTTCATTACATGTTTACTG